CCCTCTGGTAGAACCCACAGTCCAGGTCAATTCCTCCTGTGTCTGATCAGGAGTTGGGAGGTTTGGGGGGAACCTGGTCCCGCCCCCTACTCCGGGTTCCAGCCCAGGGCCCTGTGGACTGCAGCTGTCTAGAGTGCCTCCTGGTACAGCTGCGCGATGGCTACAACTCACTGGGCTACTTCCCCATGGCCTCCTCCCAACACCTTCTTTATCCTCACCACAGGACCTTCCTCCTGGTGTCTGATAATGCTTGTACTCCTCAATCCTCCAGCAATATGCCTTCTCTCTCTCAGCTCCTAGTGCCTCCTGCTCCCAGCTCCTCACATGCACGCTACAAACTGAAGTGAGGTCCTTTTTAAACTCAGGTGTCCTGATTAGCCAGCCTGTCCTAATTGATTCTAGCAGTTTCTTCTTAATTGGCTCCCGGTGTCCTAATTAGCCTACCTGCCTTAATTGGTTCCAGCAAGTTCCTGCTTATTCTGGAACTGCCCCAGTTACCTTACCCAGGGAAAAGGGATCTACTTAATCTGGAACTAATATATCTGCCTTCTCTCCTGTATCCATCTGGCCTGACCCTGTGACAGTATGTACCAGGCTTGTTATCCCAAGGGGAGTCTCTGACATGCTTCAAACCAAACGCACTGCTTCAGGTAGAATAAACTAATTTATTAACTGCAAAGGGTCAGGTGAGCATTACCTCATCGTAGTCCCAAACTGACCAAGGAAAGGGGGGTGACTCACTTGAAAGTCCAACAGATCCTTTGTTTCTGCCTAGGTCAGCGTCCTTTGTTCCTGTGAGGCTGGGCTGGGTTTGTCCCATACATGACCTGATGAGGTGTGAACTGCCCCTCTGCTCCTGGAGAGTTTTGCCTGGGCTTGTTTTAAGCCATGAGGACACATTTTCAGCCCCATAACTATATACATGAAATTACAACCTATAACATTACTATAACAACAATGCTCAGTGCATCATGAGCCTTCCGAAGACACTGGACATGACAAACATTGCATTGGATACCACACAATCATATTATAAGATGAACATGGGGGTGCAGGGTGTTCCCCCGAGGTACAGAGCATCACAGAGTGAAAGGTCAGAACATACAGTATTGCTAAAATATACATTATTTTCCCTTAAGGGCTTGATAAAATACCCATTAAAGTCAATGGAAATATACTTCTTGAGTACAATGGGCATAGGATCAAGTCCTAAATGAAAAAAATTCTTTATTTGAATTCTAGTGGGAGAAGACTCCTCCAAAAATGGCAAACTCTGAATTCTGTTCTCCCTGTCTCATAATGCAAGAACAAAGGGACATTCAAGCAAATTAGGTGACAAATTCAAAACTGATCCAATGAACACTTTTTCACACATCACGTAATTAGACTGTGGAACTCATTGCCACAGGATGTTGCTGAGACCAAGCATTTAGCAAATCTCAAAAGTGATCGGATATTTATATGAATGGCAGGAATATGCAGAGTGATATTAAACCTCATGCTTCATTGCTTCAGCCAGTCACTAACTGTTAGAGAGCAGGATGAGAATGTGGGAGGCAGATTATCTTACACCTTCCTCTGAAGCATCTGGCCCTGTCCACCTTTGGAGAAAGAATACTGATCAGATGGACTCAAGTCTGAGCCAGTCTGGCATTTCCTGTGTTCCAAATGCCAATTCCAAAAAATTAAAGATGGAACCAGTCTTTAATTATGGAAATAGCTAAGATTGAAGTTGAGTTTCACTTTAAAGCCTCATTTTGCCACTCTTCCTACACACCACAAAAAGGGAAAATAGTGGCCTTAAAACTGATACATGAGCTCTGAGGCTGTGGTGATTTTCTCTGCCAGAACTGACGTTAGATAGGAGCTGTTCGTTACTTATGGTAGCCTGAAAGTGTAAGTAGTTGTTAGAATTGCAAAAACCTTCTAATGATTTTATTTTTCAAAAAATGCCTCTTATTAGCAAATAAGAAAGAAGGTGAGAAATAAAACGTAGCATCCTGGACTTCTCTAGCCGATATCTAGGGTCAAATTCTCTGTTGGAGCCAGTATCTGCTGTGGGCAGCATTCTTCACTCCTCAGATTTCCTGCATTGATCCTAGGGCTTAGGACGGTGAATGGCCCTGTGTTACTCTGTACCCCACACCCATTGTTCTCACCCAGCCCCACCTTCCTGTGGCTGTCAAGAAGCCCACAGGACGGGCCTTCAGAATGTTTGTGGGCAAGTGGGGAGAGAGTTTAGAGCACGGGGCAGCACAGCCTGGGGGCATCCCTCCCTCTGGACCCACTGGAGTCTGCAGGAGGGGATCTTCCCCACACCTGTGAGTGTTAGGGAGATCCTTGTTCAGCACAGCACAAGCCTGAGCCCTCTGATTCCATGTGCCGGGTGGTTATCGAAATGTTGTTAGACAAAGAGCCTGTGTGCCAGCAGTACAAACTTCCTGGGCCCAGATCCTGCAGTCAGAGCACTTCTCCAAAGGCGCAAAGGCAGCACATGTAATGTTTTGTTTGCATTAATAAATAACAAATCATTTCTCTTTGAACCTCAAACTGTGAAGACAAAGCGAGTCCCCTCCAGAGCAGGAGGGATCCTTAGTATGAGAGATGGGCCTGAATTTCCTTTTATCTTTCTTCTCTAGGACATCAAAGGCACCTTGGGCAGGTAGGTGGCTCCTTCTCACTCTCCCTTTCACTCCCCAATGCAGGGAAGGGGTTTTGGACACGAGATCTGGCTCCCCATGGTCCAGCAGTGCAGAGTGTGGGGCTGGTTCCCAGTCTCCCTCTGAGCTGTTTATTAATTGTTTCTTATTATGCAGTGAGCTCTATCCGTGTGCTGGGCGTGGCAAGAGATCTGATGGAAGAGACATTCCCAGCTCTAAGGAGTTTATAATGTGCTATTATCAGTAGCACTATGGCAGTGCCTGGAGGCTCCAGGCAAAACCAGGGCCCAACATGCTGGGTGCTGCACAGACACACAGACAGAGACAGTCCCTGCCCCAGGGCGTTTACAGTCTAAATAGACACAAGAGACACAGGGCAGAGGGAGGAAGGATTAAAATCAATTGAAGGGGACATTCAATAAAGACAAAGTGCTGCACTTTGGAAGGAAAAATCAAATGTACAACTATGAAATAGGGAATCACTGGCTAGGCAGCAGGACTGCGGAAAAAGATCTGGGGGTTCAAGTGGATCACCCCCTCCCCCCATCACTTGCCTTTAAAGCAGGTACAAAGGCAGAGAGCAGAGCTCTCCCACTTTTAAAAGTGATGGGGCCACAGCCCCTGTGTTCTGGCGCCCCTGTCCAGAGATGGAGAATCCACCACTTCCCTTGGCAGTTTCTTCCAATGGTTAATCCACCCGCACTGTTAACAATGTCTGTCTGATTTCCCATTGGAATTTCTCTCGCTTCAGCTTCCAGCAATTGGTCCTTGTTGTGCCTTCGTTTGCTAAACTGAGGAGCCCTTTAGTACCAACTCTGTTCTCCCCATGACGGTATTTATACCCACACTCAAGTGCCAGGGTTCTCTCAGTGCAAGGCGTTTTTACCAGCCCTCAAATCAGTTTTGTGGGTCTTCTCTGCACCGTCTCC